ATCATATATCCTGAACTAATAGGAATTAAGATTTAGAGATCTACAACACGAGATGAGTACATCGAGCGAAATAATCCAAACAAGGAAACTCTCATATATAACATGTATCTCAAATTGTGGATCACTAAATATTAACTCCAAATCCTATAAATAATTAAATCAAAAAAGAAAATACACCATCAACATCTCATCCAAGACAAGTCGTTTCGTAATATCTCACGCTACCCTCGAATAGGTGGCATGAAAGCAAAAGTACAAACATGTGCAAGACTCGTTAAAATATATACCGACGTATAAGAATGTCAAATGTTGGTCTATGTTCACAAATGGTACTCGTATGAGCTCTAGGCTTCCTAAATATGAAGTGTATAGTCGTCCGTATTATCATGCGATTCACAGACTAACACATTCGAAGTGCACTCGCCTGCTATATCATGCGGTACACGAACATGCGCACTCACCACCAAAACAATGATGCATCACAGAGTGTAGTCAACCATGTTCTCATTGCGGTGCATGGACTAACACACTCAGAGTGTAGTCTACCACGTTCTCATTATAGTGCACGGACTAACGCACTCAAACATCCATAACTACTGTAAACGGAAATAATGTCACTCCCTATCATGACAAACACATTAGACTACGCATATCAATTGGCTCGTGCATGCTCAAATCCAGTACGTGCCCTTTCATGGTCTCGCACATGTATTAGTGTGTGACTCACACTTCATGTTCGTGATCAAAAGCATGCGGAAAAGATCAATGTTTACAAAACAACACCATACCAGTCGACCAATATATCTCATCAGTCGACTGAGTTGTAACGTGCAAAACACATGTACAAAATCCAGCCTTGATTGGTCGACCAATGCATTTGTTCGATCGACTGACTAGAGAAAAATATCCCAGTTCTACTGGTCAATCGGTTGACTAATTATCTTCATTAGTTGGCCGATCAGAGAAATATTTTCACTCCTGAGAAAAATTTAGTTTCAGTTGACTGATCCTTCTGATCAGCCGACCAACCAGGTTACAAATAAAAAACGATAGATTTTCTCAAAAAATCATCGAAGTCAAAATTTTTTAAAGAAACTCATATATAAAAATCTCGATTTACTACAATTAGGGTTTACTCTGATATATGAAAACACAAATAAAAAAATTTGAGGGATTCTTATAACCCTAACATGTTTATATTTGTAAATTCATTATGAAAGCAAATAGATTAACAAAAATCTCATGTTAGATTTACTTCAAACCTTCAACCGAATTAAAAGAATTCGTTTCATACCTTTTTAAATTAGAAAGATTAAATCTTTAAATCATATAGATTAAAGGGGTGATCTTTATACATAAAATAGGTTTTAAAATTCAATATAAACTACGAAAATGGGGATGGACTTAGGGAAGATGAAACTCGCCCTAAAAATTTGTACGGATCTCTCAAATGCAAGAGAGACTCGATCCTCCTTCACCAAAGCCGAACATCTTGCCCTCCTCTCGAACCCTACTTCAAATTCTTCTCCCAAAGAAAGATAAATTTCTCTAGGGTTTTGAGGGGGGTGCTTGCTACTCGTGAGGGATGAT